GAGCGTCGACCACTTTTCTTCCCGAACCACTACCACCGTACATATTTTATTCCAAGTCCTACGCGACACATTGTCGTAATATTATTCATTATTTTCGCGTAAGAATTATTATTTTTCATCAGACAATTGCTCTACGATTATTAGAAGTTCTGATCATAGAGTTTTAATGCCGTATGTCGTTTACAGTTCGGGTACACAACAATTATTGCTAAACGCGTAAATTTATATGTTATAATTTGTATTATAAATTAATACATTTTATACGACAATAACCAATCGTAATTAAACTTTCACTTTATTACTAGCATATTTGTTTCTCTTCGCCGGATCAAACGACCTTAGAAAACGCGCATAGACACATGCAAGTAGTTTATATGTAAAAGAAATTTCGACTTGACATTTAACAGCTAATCCGTAGTAGGAATAGTTCATCGACAAACCCAACCTTAATCGTACGAATTTTTCATTATAGGTACTCGCAATCAAGTGAACAAAGTAAGACGTTTGATAAAGTATGCGACACCGATTGCTTTTGATTCGCTGTACGAGTACATCAAATAAAAGTATTGCATTCTAATAAATTTAAGGTATATGGGTGTAACATGAAATTCATTTTTATGTTGTATCAAAAATATTTCTTTATTTCTTGTATAAATTCTGAAATTAATGTTTTCTAACAATTGAGAACAATTGAAACTATTATTTATTAATTTATATAAAAACATTATATTTAATTTTTAAGTAGTTTCTATGATGTTTTAATGCAATTATCTGTAGGAAATCTAAAACATCATAATACGAGTAAGTATGCGGATGTTATTGTATGGTACATTTGAAATAAATGAATTGTAAAAATGACTTTTCGATCGATTTTAAATAGTTAGAGTTGTGAGCATTAAGTACTGATTAAGAGTAATATAGATATTCAAGTACTACTAAGAAATATACAATTTTCAAAATATATAAAATATATTGATTTTTATATTCTGAGAACAACGATTTAAAATCATAATTTCACTAACGCAGAGTTTCATCTTATGTATCTTATGTATCTCTTGGGAAGCTAGAATAGTGGAAGGGGCCTAAAACCCCGGGTTGACCCACCGAAGTCAACTAAAAACCCAGTCGGTACCACGGGAGGGGGAGCCCCACCGCACGCCGGACCGGCCTAGCCGCTCCGAACCCAGTGCTCCCAAGGTTGAGGAGCCTAACTCGGCTGAAACGTGGTGGCAGTGGCACAGCGCAAGATAGTAACAAAACCACAACACCCAGTGGAAACCGCGGGTCCCAACACGGTTCTCGTGTCCTCGGTTTGAAAGGGTACGGGCGAAAGCTCGGCGCTGGTGGTCCTTACGACGACCCGGGCTCCTTGGTCATACCTTGGGGTTCGTTCGACCGCGCCTCTTGAGTAACGCCTCGTGTTAATAGAAGGTGTGCAGGCGAAAAGGCCTCGGCCACAAACCGGATCTCGTGCTAATTTTAAGACCCATTCAGTTAATATAATTTCTGAAAATTGTTTAAATATTCTTTTATTCGTTTCGGATATATAATTGATTAAAAACCTATTCTTTTGTGGAACTCGGTTCTGAAGGAAAAACATGCATCCGAAAGTCTAATAAAAGGTTATGTACCACATATGTACATAACGCTCGCGAACACTGTTGTAATAACCTACTGCGTTTTCCGTAGTATAGATACGTTTGGGCGTACGTAAAATATTAAATAGTGTTCAATATTTAATACTCCTGGAGTTCCTGTTTTAATACCGATAACTTTCTACTGTAACTGGGTCTTAAAATTTATAAATAAATATTATTTTTGAATTTCAATTTTTGTTTCAACTACAAGTAATACCATTTTAATGTGATAAAAAATGTATGTTTAACAATGTTTATATACTTGTTTCGTCGTATATTTTCATATATGCATAATAGTTATAACTTAAAACCGCGCACGTGTACTAAGTATTTTCTATGTACGTAAGTAGAAAAAGTATAAATAATTAGCATGAAATATATTTTATAGTGAATACCATCTGATTCTGAAGGAACATTTCCATAGGAATAGGATCGTGTAGGAAATAGGTAAATTGTAGGTACATTTTAAATAAGTACGTATCACGATGATGTTAACCCAGACGCAAACGTTCGCATTCGATATTTTTTATATATTAAGCTGCATGCTACCGCGACGAAGACGACTGTATCGTCGTGATAACAAATAATGTAGTGATCACAACAGTTCGCAGATAAATGAATCGAGGCACTTGCGCGTTTTAATTAAAACGTTCAGAACGACGAGTGTTCGATTCATTGTGCTCTCCTACCCGAAATGTAATTACGGTATTCAAACATCGTAGCGGAGTGTTTGCCTGCGTCTATATACTCGCGGACTAGACGATAATGTATCGTAGTGATACGAACTTTGCGTGTACAATGTAGTGTTATCAGAATCGTGGAAGAACAATATGCGAGTACAGGGCTTAAAGTGGCGAAAAAACGCCGTGAGCTGTTGATCTCAGACATACCATTTAAAGCGTTCCATGTACATTATATCTGTACAATCACTATTTAGTTATACGCAAACATGTTTGCTATTAAACATGAGTTAGCTGTAGTTTGTATAACATTGTTTATCGAAACTCTCAGGTGCTTTGTGATGTTTAATGAAGTAGAAAAAAATAATTAATTAGATTATTACGAACCTTTATAACTATAACCACAATAAAAGACTTCGAATGGCGAAGGGAAAATATTTTTATAGCATGCATTAATAATTTAAAAACTGATAATTTATTTGTAGCCAGTGGCGGATTTAGCGTTTTGGTGCCCCTAAGCTTAATTGCTCTGCTCCCCCCCTCCTTATCACTCTACTAAGAAACCAACAATATTTAGTCTAAATCCATCTCTTCAAATTTTATTCAGTTTTTTTTTATAAAAAAAAAAAAATATTAAATATTAAATTTTTAAAATAGAAAACTTCTAAAAATAAAATATGTCTATTATTTTACTTCAGATACCATTATTACCAGTACAAATAAACAATGCTTATACAGTCACATAACGAAAATATAAATAGCCACGTATGAAAATACTTATACTCGGATAGTCGGATGTTCCCAATAAGTACATAGGTACTAATAAGTTATTAATAATAACTAGTAACTAACTGTAATTAATTTATTACAAATGAAAAAATTTTAAATTGTAATAATAATTGTAATATTCTTATTATAGCCTATAGGTAAGCATCATCGGAGCCAGCTCAAGGTATAAGCGAGCTAGGCACCTCCCTAGAGCGGCACTTTAGTAGGGGTGGCACTTTCAAAATTGACTCGAAATTTTTTAGTTCTATTGGTGTTTTATAAGAAAAATATTTAAATGATTTCATTCGTGAAAACCACTTACGTATATAATAAAATAATATTCTCTAAAGTTATTATATTACTTTATATTACGTCATACGCTGGGCGTTTCAATTATTCAAAAAATATAAATAACCACACAAACACTTCCGCGATATCCGATAGTCGCGGTAGTGATGGGTTTTAAGTAATAGTAATTGAAATAATTTTTAAATCTTTTTCATATAATTTTATCCATAAATAAAAAATTAAATTTGTTTTTATGTAGACATGTCACATAAAAATGGGGGAGAGGCTAAGTTAAAATAAGAGCTCAATTTTTTTTTTTTTAGAGACGGCAAAATTTGTTTTTGCCTAGTGCACTATTTTTACTTGGGCCGGCCCTGCGCATCATACAATTTACATATTAATATATTATTATAACTTTTTAAAAAATTATTTTTATTTGTGTTTATATGACAAATATAAAAAAAAATATATTGAAATAAATATACCAAATAATTCAATAATAACAATTAATTCTATGAAAAAATAACCCGCCTTAAGCTATAAGATTTTTAGCCTGCCCCTAATCCGCTACTGTTTGTAGCTTTACCCTCCGTTTTAATTAACCACCTGAAATTCGTTCACATCCTTTTTGACTAATCGCTTTAATTATTAATAAACGGATTTTTACTTTAAATATGTAATTATAAATCGTATGATATAACAAAATCAAACATTTTTTTTTTAACTATAGTTTTACCTACACTAACCTTGTTAGCCTCTAAAGATAAACATTTATTGAGACGGCAAGCTCATTATCATTATAGATCTTAGAAAGTTTTAAGATGAAAAGTGTACGCAAAAAAAAAAAACAGTAGAAACGATGGAATTGAAAAATTAAGAAAATACGTACGTTTAAAAGTATATAAAAAAATAAATGATTTGGATATGATTTAAAACGTGAACAACGAGAGGTAATTAAGTGAATTAATTGCTCGAATTAACGCACTCTGCAATAATGGTGATATAAAAATTTAAAACCTACATATACGTAGCTAGTTATATTTGCATCATATTGAAACTGGAATTTGTACAAATGTATGTTTTCTACAACTTTTAATCGAGAGCTAATTTTAATTTTGTTTGGAATTATTTATTTTTTTAATTTTATTTTCATTTGTATTAAACTTGTACCTATAACAATAATATTTGTATGTAACAATATTAAAATACATGATTTGAATCGTAGTAACTTTTCCTGGATCAAAACAAATTAAAGGTACCTAGTAGCAACCTCAAACACTTATTCTTTAGTAACCCGATTTCTTATTTCGTCTAATCTATATTCAATAAGTATTTGAATTCCAATGAAGTAATAATATTGTTTAAAATATTATAAAGAACTTAATAATAATTATAGGAATTTATTATGGTTGATTGCCACAAAGACTAAGATCATATTTATTAAAAAACTAAAAAAATATACACAAAAATAAAAAAAAACCATCATCCTTATCACAGAATGAAAATTTTCTAACAAAATATATTTAATATAATTACTGGCTAATTGTATAGAAAATGCAATTGTATAAAATAAGCTGACCATAAACAAATAAATAAAACTATTGATAGGGAAACTATAAAATCGACTCCTCTGTTTACTTGTATAAACTCAATAATTTTGAATTCAATTGAAATATTATTTTTGTACTGACAACATTGAAACATATCACATCTGTCAAATATTGTATTTGGATTGTAAACCGAAACGCATTCAAACTAACGGAATGTATTCTTATAGAAAACCAAGTAGAAGCCACCCGACAGAAGTCCAACTTAAACGGACCATGGGCCGTTACTGTATGAATGAGATGAGAGAACGTACGGTGGACAAACAGCTCGAAGATTTCGCGAGTATATTGAGAACTACGGTGGAGCTGAAAATCGTTTATAAAAAAACCCATTTGGAAGTCAGCTACAGTATAGGATCGCATCAAGCTACGGTGAATGGAATTGACGAATACGTACGTGCTTATAAAAGCAAATTTACCAGATTGTTAAAAAATTTAATTTGTTTTGTGTAGGCATGTGTACGCCAGTGCAAACAGGAGATATTGCACAAATTAAGAGTGTATTGCAATTTTATCAATGTTTCTACAAATTCATCAAGTTTTGTACGAAAAAACGAAACCCCTGACCCGACGCGAGACGTTTACTCCGAGGTTAGTGAAACTATTATTATCCGTTTTGATACGCACGTGTATGTAATATCAACGGCATTATATTCTATATGTAATCGTATAATACATTTGCATAGATCGCATTGTGCAAACAGAAAACGACTCAAAAGTCTGTAAACGAATTGAAAAATAAAGTGGTATTGATAGACCCAGAAATGAATAGTTCTAGTGTGCTGAATGAATTTGCAGATACTGATGATTCACCGTTAATCATGAAACTTCGCTATCTTGAAACAGAACTGGACACGATCTACGAATTCGGATCGTGCAGTGCTTGGGCCAGAGATACAACAGAATCGGTATGTGTACATTATTCATTCGCTTAAAATTCGACTATTCTATATGCTCATTATAATTTTTCAGACGTGTATACAACAGTGCAAAATGAAATTGTTGCATAAATTAAGAGTGTCAGCAAACACTACGAGAACATCAGCAAATGACCTGACTGCCGGTCAGTCAAATAAAAGAACTATGTTTAGTAAACCAGAGGTAATTAAAATCCACCACGAATGTTACGGTTATGTTTTAAACATTTGATATTTGACGGAAATACTATAAAATAAATATCATTATGACGTATAACATTATAAATTGAATAAATAATGACAATTTTACTCGATTTACACAACGTCATGATGGTAATAATAATCGTTGGAACGAATTGAAAACACAGTTTTAATTTCATTCGCAGAACTACATCGATAGAATTTGTGCTGTGATGAATAAACTGACGCGGCAAAATTTTCCCGAGAGCACAGAGCTGTTTCTCGATATCCTCGTGGAAACCAATAACGCGAATAAATACTATCTGGGACTCGTCACAGATTTCATAGTGCAAAAGGTATCATTGTTACCGGGATAAACATTTTCCTATCACAGTTGTAATAATACTTATAACAACAATGACTGTTTTCGCAGGCAATCTACCAGCCAGACCACAGCCCCATGTACGCGAAATTGTGTTCCGATGCGAACAAAAGGGCGCTAGAGGACTTCGGGAAAAGTCGTTTTGGATTCTCGAGCGTATTCAAATACGAATTGATAAAATCGTGTAACAGCGTGTTGAAAGGAGCTGGACTTTTGCTCCAGACAAAACCACATGAGCCATGCTCGCGGGCGGACCAGCACCCCGATGTCCGTAACGAATCCGCGTCGGAAGCATTCGACATAGAAGCTCGCATTCGTACGCTTGGAACTTGCAGGTAACGTTCCGTTAAAGAAACACGGTACTTTTTAACACCTGCGTAGATGGAACATTCTAATTTGCGGTGCGCAACTTTTCGCAGGTTCATGGGAGAACTTTTCATGGAGAACGGCTTCCAGATGATGAAAATAATACTGAACACCGTGAACGCGTTCATGCAAGCAAATGACTCGCATTCATTGGAATGCCTCTGCGTGATGCTCTCGATAATCGGGCCGAGATTCGAAAAAGTAAGTAACACTCGTCAAAATAGTATTGATTTATTATTTACTTTGGCTCGTAAATAAACGATGGTGCATTCGATCGAAAACCTATTACACTCCGTTTCTACACTCGCGGCTATTGTTTTTAGTTAACGGAAATCTCGGAAACTCAATATTACGCGAGACAAGTGTACGAGCGACTCGACAACTACGCGATATCCCAGAACACCTTCTTGCCTTGGCGAACAACTCTTATGATCAACCAACTCCTCAGTTTACGAAATTTATATTGGATGGACGGGCAGCCGGAGTTGCCGAGAAACGTTTTTATGGAAGATCCGAGCCCGTTCGCTTCGTACGACGGCGAAAGGATGTCGGAATATCGTGGAAATCGTTAGAATTCGGGGCGAAACCAAGCGATTCCTCTTCCGGGGTCTCGAAAATAAATACTACGATTATGAGAAGTCAACGACTGGTTCGTCACCGTAAATAGACATTCCCCGATATAAATTCTACACCAGGTACGTATTTTTCGCATGTTTCGTTATTAATTCGCATTTTTTCTTAGATATATTTAGATCGTTCACCGTAATGATTTGACGGTGGACAGACCTAACGTTTACGTGGGACTATGAAGAGAACATAATTCCGTTCGTTTCGTTTGCTATCTTCAAAACGGTCCGGCATACATAAATTATTGGTATAGAAACAATGTAATCTAATCGGAAGATAGTAAACTGCGGCAAAATTAACCTTTTTCTAAAAGTCGATATGTAAACTGCGGCAAATAACAAATTTAAATTATACAATCTGCGACAAAACCGATAAGATACATTATATAAGCTGTGGCGATTTATTATATATACCAGGGGTGGCCAACATGACTATGTACACAAGCCACATGTATTAATAAGATTATATTAACAGTCAAATTATCTAATCGGTACTTTTATACTACAAAAGTAATTAAGAAAGCTAACAGTCGATAAACATATATATACATATAAATAATTAAGTCAAAATATCGTTAAAATTTGACTATTGATCATCTCACAGAATTACTAAGAACTACTCTTACATCAATTCAACCAGATCTTAAGAAGCTTACTAAAAAAGTAGAAATGAAAAAAATACTACGCAAACAAATTTAACTTAATGTTTAATTTTTTAATTTATTATTCATATAAATTAATTTTTTTTTATGTTTATTAATCTGTACACTATATCCTTATATCTATGCAATAACATTTTTTTTTTTTTTATAAATGTATGCAAAAAAATTAAAATATTTTGGTTTTTGTAAATAAGACCGCGAGCCGCATACGATTATGACGAGGGCCGCATGTGGTCGCGGGCCGCAATTTGGCCATCCCTGATATATACTATATATACATATCGTTTCGATAACCTATATACACGTTTATCGTTTAATTATAAATAATGTGTTATGACAGCTATTAGTCTTGAGATATAAGGCTTAAAAATAAATAAAAACAAATTTTTAAAATTGAAAAATATTATTATTAAAAATTATTTTAAGAGACCTTTTGTCGTTTATTTTTAAAACATACTTTTTCAAAAATTCTTATCTTGAAATTCATCTCCTTTCGTTTGTCGCTGTTCGTTAATAAATTTGATTTTTGCGTTGTCGCTTTATTTCTTTTTTGTATTATCCCTTCTTCAGCACTTTTGATTTTTATATATGTGTCAACTTATACATAACTATAGTACGGGCACTGAGAGAGTGCTACTAGGCGGCGACCAAAACTCGTCCGCTACCGCGCATTCCCACCACTAAACCTGCTAAAACGCTGGCCGCCGTTAACGTGCGCCGCCGCCACAGTCACTGCCGCGCTGCCAGCAGAGTATAAAGCCGGTGCTACACGATGCGTCAAACGTTGGCTCCAACATTGGCGTGCAAACGTTGACTGAACATTGGAACCAATGTTTGACGGAAGGATGCAGCTACACGTTGTGTAACCAACGTTGGATCAAGTGTCATGTGAATGTTGGATGTAGTATACTCCCTACAATGTATCTGTGTAGTGTGTATGAAGATTATAACCTATGAACATATTCAGACTTTAAGTTAAAACTTCAAAAAGTTAAATAGAAAATATATGGATGACGTGGTTGCAGCTGCTGCTATTGTAATTGTGCTATCTTGTAGTCAATTATTATTAAAAGCGAAAAAACAGAAAAAAAGACGTGTAAGGAGATGATGGATTATAATACTTAAATGTAATACTTACCAGTTACTTAAAAAAGTAAAGGTTTGTAAAAACTAAAAAAAACATAACTACATAAAATATAGTTACTTCACATGGTCACGACATCAATTCAAGACTGGTCACAGCAGGACTACACATGTCGCACCGTTTAGCCGTATACCTAGCGCTGGTTGCAACTTGCTTCCAACGTTGGATATTCCTTTGAAGCGACTTTCGGTGGGAATCGTTCCAACGCCAACGTTGGACCCAAACATTTGTCACCGGACATATGCATTACGGCTACACGGTGTGGCGAATGATCGTGTGGCCAACGTTTGAAGGTATTGGACGCATCGTGTAGCACCGGTTTAAGCCACCGGCCGTTGCGTGTTAAGAAAGGGAATTCACGGTGGCAAAACCACGGAGCTCAATAATTTATATGCGCGAAAGAGTAGCGCTCTCTCAGTGGCCGTACTATAGTATTATCAAAAGTAAAGGAACCGATATTACCGATATGCTTCGTTGAAACTTAAAATTACATTTGGATTTACCTTACCACTTTATACACAAGACGCAATATTTCATAATTAATTAAACGATATACGCACATAGGTACACATATGTACTTATATATGATTTAGACACTATAATAAATAGTACATATAAAAGTTATGTATATAAAATACATTTCTGCAGTTTGTATAATGCATCTTATCAGTTTTATCGCAGATTATAAAATCTAAATTTTTTTTTTTTTTGCCTCAGTTTACATATCGACTTTTAAAAAAAGGTTAATTTTGCATCAGTTTACATACAGCCATCTAATCAACAATGATGTCGTGAAACTACTTACTGAATACTGCGAGTACAAGTCACTGTCTTAACTTTTACGATTTTATTAGTTGTTTAGAAATAGTGTTATATTATAATTTAAAATGTAATTTATAATTGAACGAACAAAATATACAATTATATTACGCTAGCTTGAAGGTAAATGGTTATTACATAAGTTATTGAATTTGCAAGTTATTTTTAAAAATATTCATTGTGATTAAATAAAACATCAGATCACCGAAATATTGAATACCACAGTGTTAAATATATTGATCTTGAGAATAACCAGGTTTTAATAATGCTATATCATCAACTTTTTAATGTGTAGTATATCAAAAATGATATTATCCTAGTTTAACCATTTATTTTTATTTTAAATTCTTTGATTTATTTGATTTACAATATCAATTTATAATATATAATAATAAAACAATAATAACTAACGATAAGCTATTCTTCTGAACAAGTAACAGTAAACACATCAATGATAAGTGAGAATAGGAACTGAAACAAACACTATTTATGATAATATTATATTATATACCACACGGATATACCACGAATTATACCGATTAGCGAATAATGATGGGAATAATCGAATGATTAGAACTCCACAACAAAATAATCGAATTTTCACTTGAATGATAAAATATTCGACCAGTTTTTTTAACCCACTACCTATACTACTGACTAGTGAATACTTTATAGTCATTAGTTTTACGAGTATAAGTATAGTCATTGATATAGTGTATTGTGTATACCAATAATATAATATAATTAGTTAACATCAGTGGCACCGAAGTTAATTTTTAGAAGTATTGCAAAGCATACCTGCAAAGCAAGATCCACTCACCTACACACAGTAGGTTGAGCAACGGCCCTCAATTTTTTTCTATAATTTTAATAACTTCCAGCAAGTAAATTTTTAATGATTAGCGTTTAGGTTTATCATAATGTTAGGTATGATGATGAATAAAATAATTTATAACTTTCATAAATTAAAATAATGTTAGCCAATATGTTTCGCATGCTTACCACACCCACCCCTAACAGGTATTGCAACTGCAATACCTGGATACAGGGATCGGCGCCAACGTGTAACATTCAGTTAAAGTAGTATTAACTACTTTTTTATAATTTTTCGAATATATCATCAGGAATTATCTATTTTATGTATCTAGGTAGAGAATTAAAAATGTAAAACGGAACAAATATTTAATTATAAAATATAAAATAATCATAAAATAAAATGAATACCATAAATATATAGTTTACGCCATACGAGTGAGAAAAATGAGATAAGAAAAGTATTCAATTATTTGTATCATACGAACAATTTTATTTTAATAATTATTTCATTCGATTAATTTGTTCGAATGATTTTATTCGATTATTTTATCATTCGAATGATTATTTCATTCGATTATTCCCTAACTATTGACTGATATAGTTATATTAATTATAATTTATGTCTTATAATATGATGCAATGAATTTATGACTACACTAACTGCGAGTAGTGAAAATTTTGATGTACGTTATAACTTGCATTGTTTTTAATTTTTATCTATATTCATCTATTGTAAACATATACCTAATCGCAGTCTTGTAAAGAATACTTTTATTTTGTATTCAGAATACGTATACGAAGAAATGGATAAAAATGTAATTACAATACGTATTCGAATACTTTAAAAAAAATGTATTCAGAATATATATTCAAATACTCAGTGCTCGACTTGGTAAAATTAAAAAAGGGAGACTCTATTTACTTTAAAAAAAAGAACGTCCCCAAAACTGGCTGAGTGTTATGATTATAACATAATAATAGTAGAAGGACACTAACATTTCTGAAAATTAGTTGGGGTATTCCGTCCCCCTGCGCCCCCCCTTAAGTCAAGTACTGCAAATACTTAAAAAAGTAACTATTATTTTTTTTTTGCCAATTCATGTTAATTTTGAAATAATTTGGAAGTTAATGTTTGATGGCAAATTTTACTATATAATGTATAAAGTTAACGAATCAAATAAATACCAAATACTAAACCTATTACATAATATATATCAGTTAATATTTAATACACCAAATATTCAAATATTGTTATTATTGAATTTTGGATACCAATTGTATTAAAAAATGCATGTTTTCATTTAAATTCCCTTTGATTTTAATATTTTTATTAATAAAATAGTAGAATACACCACACATTATATTAAGAAAATAAAAATGCTTTTATAAAATCAAAAAACACTTCCTTTATAATAGTTTATGAAACAAATAATTTATTATTTAACATATTATACTAAACAAATGATAAACTTAATAATTAGTTAATCATAGTTTTAAATATACAAATAGTTTTATTAGTTATACAAATAAATTTTTGTTACATTTAAATAACATCACTTTTTCAAAATTTTGGTCGCTCATATGACCATGTTTTTTTGTTAACACTGCACTCCCAACATTGTAAACCCTTTCTACCAAGGCACTACTTAGAAGAGGAGTGTTATATTTTATGAAAACACTTTTAATTGATAGCGTTCCGTTTTATGATAAAAATAATATATTCAGACTTTTTGATAAGTATGTAGATATTTCATTTTCGATGGGTATATTTATTGAATTTTTATTTGACCATGGGAAAAAATTATTTTCACTGATCTTATAGTCTTCATCACATTCAGTAGTTTCACTCAGTGGCGAATTAACCATTAGGCTCGTGAGGCTCGAGCCTAGGGCGGCAATTTGTAAGGGGTGACAAATTTTTTATGTATTATTTTTTTTTACTCTCAAACAAAAATTAAAAAAAAAATAATGACATTCAAAAACTCATTAATTTTGGTATCAGAAAACTCGAAATTTAATAATTCATATCTCTGGAGGGAGCCTATTCTTGAAACGTTGATTTGCGTGAACGACCGTGGCAGTTCGAAAACACGTAATGACTAACCGCCGGATGAGAAATTATTGGCTACTTGTTTTTAGTTATAACTTGCATTATTATGAGTTTTTCTCACTAATAAGACGACTGAGAATATTAAATATTGATATATAAACTGATTGACGATAATATTGTTGGCGAGTTCGCGAGTAAATATAAATCAATTTATCGGTGAAAATTTTTGATTATTCGACGAAAAGATATGATTATTTTCAACCCATATCATACAATATACGTATATACTAATTGGCACAGTGACGGTCGTAATCATAATGATATTATTTGGGTTTATTATTATGACTATAAATTGATTATGTTTAAACACATAAGTACCCATCATATTATTTTTCAATTTATTTTGCTGTGAACATCTGAACACATTGGTCATCCTCGCCTTTTGTAGTTTTGTATACCTACCTACTAAAGATAATGGCTGTCTCTCTGCAGCGTAGTTCAAATAATCACAAGTAAAACTATTTCTTGGAGGTCTATTAAATTATTCGTAAGTATATATTATGATATTATTGTAATCAACCTATATTGTATTTTCCTTTTTAAAATAAAATATATATTATAAAAATAATAATGTATATAATATATTTTACTGCATATTTTTACGTAGGCAGTGGCGTACAAATGAGGGAGGGGTTCGGAATAATTCCCACCCCCAGGACAAAAAAAAGATATTGTCCAGTTCTGAAATTATTAGAATAATAAAAGGTAACGAATTAACAGATAATATAAAAATATCAATAGACAAAAGTTATTTAAGATGATTGTTACAGACTATCAACCTCTGTCGTTAGTTGAGAACAGTGGGTTTTTGGAATATTCTAAAAAATTGCAACCTCTATTTAAGGTTCCCAGTAGGAAAACATTAACTACAAAATTATTGCCAAATGAATACAACAAGATCGTCATTAAAATAAAAAATATGTTGGAAAATGTTGCTTATTTCTCTATTACAACTGATATATGGACATCTGATAATAATATACCTTACTTAACAGTTACATGCCATTTTATTTTGGATACTCGTTTATATTCACCCATTTTAGCAACTAGAGATATGCGCGAATCTCATACTGGCGTCAATATAAGTAATTTGCTTTCAGATATTTTAAATGAGTGGAGCATTAAAGATAAAATAGTGACTATAGTCTCAGACAACAGAGCTAATATAAAAAATGCTATAAATGTACACCTAGGTAAATACCATCATCCATATGTCGTGCACACACTAAGTTTAAGTATTAACGAAGCAATTATGTCGAATAAAGTTAGGAAATCTTTATAATACATCCAGGAAGGATGTATTAAAAAAAAATGTCGCACGTTGGTGAAACATTTTAAACTAGTGTCTTTGCGTCTGAAAAGCTTAAAGAATTGCAAACACAAATGGGACTTCCTCTACTAAAAGTAATACAAGATGTAAGTACCAGGTGGAATTCGAGTGTTCATATGTTAGAGAGTACAAATTAAAGCACCTTTATCTGCAGCTATGACATTTCTTCCCCGAGCACCAAATTGTTTAACAACATTAGAATGGGAATTAATAAATGATTGTTCACCTATATTAAAACCATTTGACGTCATGACAGTTGAATTATCTGGTGTAATATATCCTACACTTTCATCAGTAATTCCATTGATGAGAGGCCTTCAACATACGTTAACATGTACAACTTCATAAAATTGTAATTGATGTCATTGGTAGACGTTTAAGGATTCTAGAATGTAATAAAATAGTTGCTAAATCAACTTTTTTAGACTCTAGGTTTAAAAAATAAGGTTTTGGATTAATTGAAAATGCAAATAATACTGATAAACAGCTTATTGGAGAAATTTCTTATATTTTAAATAATAAACGGCAGGGAGATACATGTAGTGAACATATCGATGTTGAATCCAATGTATTATGGAACAATTTGACACGAAAGTCTCTCAGATCAGTATTACGCCATCAACTAGAATTTCGGCTTTACTTATAATACGTCAGTATTTAGAAATTCCACATTTAAGCCGTAAACAAAGTCCACTGGATTTTCGGAAAAAAAAAACAAAAATATTTTTCCAGAATTGTTCAGATTGCAAATTAAATATTTGAGCGTTCCCGCAACATCTGTTTCATCAGAATGCGTATTTTCTAAAGCAGGACAGATAACTAACGACTGTAGGCATAGACTTCATCCAAAAAACTCGGATTTAATTATATTAATTAATATAATTAATTATTTTTTTAAACAATAACATGAATATTGAATTTTTATTATAAAATAAATTTGATTTTATAACTTTCATTTCATTTGTACGAGTATATATTTATTAATTATAACGTTATACGTCTTAAATTGTAATAGACAGTACAACATAATATTATGCATCACATACTACATAATAATCATGTAAAGCATTATTTTTTATTTATTTATATTCTATTGTTAATTTATACTAAGTACTAATGAATACAATTTACAATAATAAATATTTCAATGTTAACATATTATAGTACCTACCTACTATCTACTGTCTAATGTTACATTACTACTTATAAATATTAAATACTAAAGATTATTTTGAAATAATTAATTTATGTTCATTCGATTATTCTATCATTCGAATGTTTATGATTATAAATTATGATTTATCAAATCGTTTTTGAATCGAATTGATACGAATGGTTTCGATTATCGTATTGATTCTATATGATAAAAGTAATAAAAGTGAGACAAGAAAAGCATTCAATTATTTGTATCATATGAATGTTTCATTCGAATGATTTTATTCGAATAATTCATTTAATTATTTTATTATTCGAATGATCAAGCCCGGATTAAGGGGGGGGGCAAGGGGGGGCACGGTCCCGGGGCCCATATTTATCCCCAAATTATTTTTTTTAACATGTTAAAAACAGTTATATATATATATATATATATTATATATAAATTCTTAGACTTATAGATCTAGTTACCTATAAAGTGTGTTCTTTATATATATATTTATATTGTGTAGGTATAATACGGTATTATTAATACCTAAATTATTAACTATATTAATTTATCTGTCTCATATATATATATATTTTGTATAGTATAAACTTATACAATAAATAATGACATATAGTACTTAATACGTAGTGATATAATTATTTTTAAGTTCTAGTTGAAAGGGAGGCCACTAAGTGTATGGTGTCCCGGGGCCCAATTGATCCTTAATCCGGGCTTGCGAATGATTCATACGATTATTTTATCATTCAAATGATTCTTAAAATAATCGAATTGATTCGATTATTCAAATAATCGTATGCTTCGATTATTTCATTCGATTATTCCAATCACTGGTGATTACTGTATAAAACAAATGTAATAATAAACAAACAGTGGTCGACTTGAGAGGGGACGCAAGGAGACGGAGTACTCCAACTAATTTTCAGAAATTTTAGCGTCCCCCCACTATTATTATGTTATAATTATAACGCTTAACAAGGTTTGGGGATGCTCTTTTTTTTAAAGTAAATAGAGTCCCCTTCTTTAATTTTTCCAAGTCGAGCTTTGTGAACAAATATGTCTACTGTCTAGCACTAGTATGGACAATTTTTGAAAAACTGAAAAATATTTTTACGATCACGAATAATTTATCTTATCATCTAGATGAGTGATTTTTTTATCTCGGATAATTTTTTTAATAATTTTCAACGGTTCATTTTTTATTATCTAGATAAGATAAAGATAACAAACATTTTTATCTAGATAATCCCAACACTGTCAAAGTATACCCACTAGAAAATTTTTTTCTCGATAATTTTTAATTCTATAATCTATAATTGTAATGATCGGAATGATTCTTCCGATCGAAATCGTGTACATAGATAAAAATAAATGTCCTTTCACTCAAAATCTATAAATAAACATTTATTTATATAAAATATAAATTGCATTTACGACTATAAGTTTTATATTTTTAGTACTTACGTTTTCACGTCATTTAAATATTCATATCTAACATTTAATTTTTTCTTTGCCAAGCTAAGCGTCAGGGGCCAATTTTATACTACTATGCCTAACCGGCTAGGAATGATACCTATACTATGGCAACTCACAAACCCACATGCATGAGTTAGTCAATAAATGTATAATAAAAATGTTAGTTTATATTTATATATAGTAGTTCAGCAAATGATTTACAGAATAATATTATGAATCTTTCTGTAGACTTCTTATTTAATACAACAAACACGAAAACCATTAGCATATACAATGTGTATGTACATATATTATATATACTGTTTATTATAAATGTATTGATCTTATTTAATATTGATACACTTCGAAGCAATATAATTTTTGTTTTTAGTTAACATACAATCAAAACCTATCTTTATTTAAATATATTATAATAAATAAGAATTTATTTTTTCTTTCGTATAGTTTTTACTATGGTTCAAACTATACCGTTACGATTGTTTTAACGACTAATGATTAAATGGTGATGCATTTTTTCTTTCATAATAGCTGCATATTTCCGATTTAGAATCAATAATTGCGGATGGATCAATTTATATTTCTAAAAATGGTTTATATCGCAGAAAAACCAAATTTCTTTACTCTCAAAAATTATCATTTTTTTTTTTTTTTTTTTTTGGTTACAAAGAAAAGTAATGAAAATTATATTGAATGTTCAGCCTCCAGTGTAAAATTTAAAATTTTATGAATTTTTGAGAGCGAAAGTATAATGGATTCTATCGGTTTGTCATATAATATTATTCAAATGCTCATAGCTTTTTTAAATAAGACCCAATTTGTTTATATTAATTATTTATAGTTATATATGAGAAACTTTGAATGAAATGTTAAAGAGTTTTCGTCAAATCAAAATTATTTTATTGACATTTTTGAAAAAAAAACTTTAAAAATGTGGATTTCTATAAGCAGCTAAAATTATTCTTCTTTTTAAATTTTAAGTCTTTGCGGTCGTTATTTTTTGAATTACGATGAAAAAATAAATAATCAAAAATCGGTAAGCTCAAAATTTTGCCGTTTTTTATAACTTTTACTACGTTTTTCAATAAACTGTTGAGAAATTCAAGAAATTACCTATTCAAAATCCCTACTAGAACTCATTCTCTATTTTTGATTATATTAAATAATGATTGGAGAAATCCGTCTAGTCAATACAAACATGTGACTATATGGGGACACAAAAAAAAATACACATATCAAAACATACATTCATTGTTCCATTCAGAATCTTAAATAAAATATTCATTAATTATAGTATAATTTAGAAACCAAACTACTGTTTGGGACATGCACAAGTTGATTTATTCGTTGATCTATTATTCCGGCGAAAGTATTGCAGTGAAAAGTTTTACTTTTTTCGCGGAAAAAATAAAAAAGAAAAGAAAACCTCTTCAGATGAAGACATTGGCCAAACAAAACATAACAACTTACTTGGATATATTAACGTGAAGCATCAGGATCTTCAAAAAAATTTGAATGAGAAATAGTGCATCCATATTCTGAATAACAAATAAATCACTATATTAATCCTTCTATTCTCGCATACGTTAATGAAAAATAGTTAGAAATATTTAAAAATAAATAAATAGAAACGATATCCAAGTAAAAGTGAATAGAAACTATTAAACCTATAACAGACCTTAGTATTAAGTCGGTGAATGTTTTTTTATAATTAAAATAAATTGTTGTACCTAAATAAAAACTTCTACATTTAAATAATATTCCACGACACATGGATTAACACATCGCGACAGAAACAACGATGAGGCAGATAATCTATGTCCAATGTAATTTGTCTTATTCTATTTGCGTTTTAAAAGAAAATATTAGACGGACAATTTCAGTGTCAGAAGAACTGGGGATTATTGATTGCCAATACTGTATATTTTCGTCTGATAGATTTATAAAATTAATTTGCTCAATCAATCAATAATCATATAATATCATATACTTCAATAATCAATTATATTGTTTGACTAAACCAATTCTTTCACTCGCGAGATCAATATTTTTTTTTCTCGTTAGTTGCGAATGGATACGGGGATCACAGTTTCACCGTGTTTAAAAATTTTCTTTTTATTTGATAAAAGTACTTTTCGACAGAAGATAATTGTTTTGACATGACTTAAACCATACCCAAAACCTTTCTTGTATATTTTTCCAATGTGAATCGCTTTTCCTTAAATATCAAAAATACTTTTATCAATCAAATTAAATTTTTAATAAAAGTGCGATACACTACTGCTATACAGCGCACCCGCGAATGAACACAAGATGA